ACACAAAAATGACTACAATAAAAATTGAATATCTCCCTTAGGACAAGTCAAGGGCAGCCTATATTTTAACCTTGTTAGTTTGGCACTGAGGACTTTCATTTGATGCTAATAGATTGCATTTTTCTTGGGGACAGGGCAAACACCTGCATTGTTAGCAACGGAGGCTCCCATTACAGTCACCCCTACCCGCACTACAGACCTTAGCCATCGAGAATAAAAGACGTCAGTTTTTCTAAACCGTTATTTGCAAAATTGATCAAGTTATAGTTATGAAAAATAGTGAGCGAATAGCAACAATACAAGATAAAAATAGAACGTCTGTAGAAATGAGAAAAATACATTGATTTTCGACTATCCTACAAAATAACTATATTGAACGAGAGGTTTCTGATTTTATATATTTTGTATTAGTTTAATGAAGCTGGAGAAGATATGTGAGTTTTACATTTTAGTCCCATAGGAGCAGCTGCGCTAACAAGCTTTTTCGGTATGTTCCATTTCCAATGAATTTTGTTGTGGGCTAGCAATCATAACACCAGTCATCTTGCACAATAGCCAATACACGTAATGCAGATTACTATTGTCTGTGTGTTGTTCAATGTTCCTATTTTGAATTATATATTCTGCCAGCAATGGCAGAACGGCCGTGAATATTGATTGAATTGAATCAGAATTGTAAAACTCTTCTGTTTGTGTCATTAGACCCAAACCAACCATAATAGGATTTAATATATCGTTATCATTACATTTACTTAATATATGAGTGACATATTCAACTATAACCGAAGATGTTGTAATAGAAGTAGTACAAGTAACTGGAACAGATGATTCTAATCCATTAGTTGTTGTATTTTGAATTATTTTTAGATGAAGTTGTGGTACGAGTCGAGCTAATAAAAATTGCTGAAACAAGATTAATACCTGTTTTATTCGATGTTTTTGTTTGGCTTTCATGTCACTCGATGAATTCAAATATATATCGATAAATGAATGCAGTATTATTGTTGCCGTTATATTCTGTGACTTGTCGTCATTGGTATCGCACAATGCTTCGATCCAGCTTAACAATGTGATTGTTCTATTCAATTCAGTTAATAGTTGTTCGATTAATATAGGAAACTTATTTTCGATTGTATATTTATGAATAAATACCAATTTTTCGGTGAATGTCAGCATTTTTTTATTGATGACGTAAATCAGTGCTTTTGATGCTTCTCTACATATTGTTCTCTGTTCCGGTTTTTCATCACTACCACAAGCCAATTTTAAGAATATTTCGAACCACTTTTCTAACTCATCAGTTGTTGCAAATTTTGAAAAATCGACGTTACTGTTTGATTCAGTGGATGAAGCCTGAACCGTTTTTCTAAGTTTATTGTTCATTGCGAATAAATCTTTGTCAAAATTTGACTTAACGGTACATAAAAATTTTAAATGTGTTGTAAACAATCTTAAGCAAATAGTTAATGTATGAACGACAGTTGTACTCGAATCTTGTATTATTATTCCTGTCAATTGTTCGATAATATGAAACAACTGTTTGAATGTGTTTGGATGAAATTCGAATGACATTGAACTATTGAGTGAACTACTGTTGAATTGCTTTTTTGAATTGAGTTCATTGTCAAAATCGATGTGTGCCAAAATAATCGAAGAGATGAATCGTCCAGAAAATAGGTTGTCATCCAAGTGCATCAGTTGTGCATTTGGAAATGCTCCAATAGACTTCAAATAGTCTAATGAAGTTGTACAGATTTTATCTGAACGCGTCAGTGATTCTAGAACATTGTTTATATCCAATATTTATTTTCAGAATACTATTGCCACAAACAGATACTATAGTACACTACAGCTCGATTTCTTTAATTTCCAGCGTTCTCTATTATCCTAATCTCATTCCTAAACAATTTTCGAAAATTTTCCGTTAGGATCTTCTAAGATTCCAGTCCTCTAGCATGTTGTCCAGGTTTAATCAAGATTCTATACATTTCTTGCACTATTCTATGCTTAGGAAATCAACTAGATGTTATGAAGATTCCGTCAAGAGCCTACATAAGATCTTATCAAGTTTCTGCAAAATTTTCTCTTATGAAATTGTTCGGGGATCTAATAGAATCTTGATAACATGATATGGTTTAGGATTCTATTTGATCACAAGACAAGATTTTAAGAGGAGTCTGGCATAATCCTATATAAACTTGAAAGTGATTGTTCACACGTATCTTTTAAGTTTGGATAAGATCTTGTTACAACTCTAACAGCAAGTCAAGAATAAATATTTTCCACGCAGGTGGAGTAAGCAGCTCATTTGAGTAATTCCAGCAACGATTGGACTAGGAACTTGATCCAAGTTTCCATTGTCGGTCCAAGTACAAATTGATGAGCTCTGTTCAGTGGTATAATTAGATTTTTACAGATCAGATGAAAGTTCCTAAAATTCCAAAATGCTGATATTTCACTATAGAACTTGGCCAGTATTTTAAGATTTTTGAACACATGGCTTGAGGTATAAAAAATCTAATTGTATCAATGGATAGAGGTTATTTGGCTGTACTCAAACCAAGAATAGGAACGTTCGATAAAGTTCCAAGGCGAACCGCTGCCAGAATGACCCGAATCGGCTGTTAACTTCAACTGCTTAAATATTTAAAGCCTTTTTTCCGATTTTCGTCAAATTCTATTAACAGAATTTGTTCTATCAAAATTTATCATCTGACAAGAATCAGGGCATCGTTTTAGATAAAATGGCATGCATAGTTCTTATGAATGAGCGAGAAGTTTTGATCACGACAAGCCTCTGGATGGGTACAGAAATTTCAAAAAGACTTTAAAAATAACTATTTACTAGTCACTTACGGTAGCCGTATAGTTGAAATCCAGAATATTGGACAGAATTTTCACTGCCACGTTTTTGAGTAATTAGAAGTCGATAGCTCGCATAAGGTATCGAATTTGAAAACCATTGTATTTCACCCCAGCTGTACCTGCCTGGATCAGTTGCTAAACCACTGGGGCCACTGTAGATAAGAGTCCAGCTAGAGCCGAGATTGAGACTTGCGTTGGACTGATTACTTCCTTCTAACGTTACGAATAATGGATCACGATTTGGGAAATCGTTGGCTGTGGAAAACCTCAGACCCATAGCTATAGATGTACCTCGTTGCAGTGTGAGGTAGAGACCTGTATTCAGACCCCATTCAACCTCGTCTGTGCCAAAATTCAGATATTTTGTTGTGACATTGCTGTCAAATGCGTTTGATGGATTCTCGTTCGGCGGATAATTCCCACTGCCCATACCAGATGTTGACGGATTACTATCACCACTAGCGATTGTTTCATAGATGCCATAGGGAGTCTCGTTGGTACTAGTGAGTAGTATCGGAGCTGAAATTTCAACATGAATATACTATTAAAAGAACAACTCAAACAATATATGAGATAGAAATTATTGAGCATTCGAAAACGTAACGTAACCGATCTGAGGAACGATAAGGAACCCTATTAAGAAATCGCCTAATGTACCTATATTAGCAGAGACCATTTTACGCCCATTCTAAGCTGTACTTTCAATGTCTGTTGCATACATTGATATCCAATTTTTGTTTTACAATATTTATCGTAGAGTAGCATATTTTTAGTTACTTTTGTGGAATTTTTGATGTTGAATGCTTTTCACAATAGTTTGGTATATTTGATCAGATGTTTTATTTGCTCAGTTGTAGATCTCGATTTCAGCTATAACTTTGCTGCGAAGATATAGCTAAAGTCAAGGTCTACAACTCAGCAAATAAAACCTCTGATCGAATGTGCTAAACTACTGTGAAAATCATTCAATACCAAAATAGTCTACATAAGTAACTACTGCCATCCCTGATTTTCACAGAATTAGGAAATAGGGATCCACGCTAGAAACTCCTGTAGTGCTACAATGTTTACACGGACGCGTTATGAATACATCACTTCTATGTGTGCGTAAGTCAGTGCATGTGTGAATAATTTTTTTATACGGGCATAAAAATAGTGCATGCAAACGACTTTCTATACAAAGAATAGTAATCATGTACATATTCACAGTATTAAAGAATAAAGCTTGAGAAAAATGTCACTTGGTTACAATGGAAACGCTGATCCCAGTCCACTGGTTTAATATAATGGATATTCCTAATTAGAACTGTAAGCGAAGAACAAGCAAAAAAATCCCCCAAAAAGTCAAAAAATAATTCAGTCTTGTTATTCGAAGTTCAAAATCTTGATATACTGTGGAAACAAAACTTATTCCTCGTTCAACAGTGAATATTTATCCAGAAATTCAGCTTTGTATATCTTTAAACAGCTGAGACAATAATTTGTCTTAAAGGTGACCTTCATTCTAATTAGAAACACTGTCTCTAATTAGAATTGTAATGCAATACACCTAGAAATTCGAGATATAATCAGAAAACAGGTATTTCTCGCTACCTGAACTTTATAATTCCAAATGTGCCTCCATGACAAATGTTTCTTTAACTATAGACTATAAATTGACAGTGGTTTAGATCGAATGGATAAACTGGTTTCGAGATATGATTGTTTCAAAGACTGATTGCTCGCTAGAACCGATCGGACTGGCTCATTCCGAAGCGAGTCAAAAGAATGTATAAAATTGTATAGAACACTGAAATTCTTTCTCTACAAATCTTTGCTTTGTTCTATACGCTGATAACTATGATATGTCGATTTTGTTATTGCAAGATAACTATGAACAAATCAACATTTTTTAGAGAGAAAGCCGAGTGCAACAAGCAACATCAATGAATACTTTACGTTTAGATTAAACTCTAAGCTATATGGGCGAATTTCTAAGTAAAGTATATTCTGATAGAAATGTAACAATGTTCTAACCTGTAGTTTTAGTCCACATTGTCTCATAGTAATAGTTCTCTTCAACATCATCATTCGAATCGTAATCAGTGTTAAGGTTGGGTTCATTATCCACATTACTCGTTGTTGTATTGGTTAGTTGTTGTTTTTCTTTTTTCCATTCATCGATCGCTAGTGCAAGAACGTCGTTTAATTGTATGAATAGACCGCGTACGTCGTAAACATTGTCTGCATTATTAAATATGAACTGTATCAATGTAGGCAAAATGTCTTTAAATGATGCTTTTGCAATTGAAAAACTCAACTCAATTGTCAACGCTTGTTTTGCTATAATCAAATCTTTTGACAACGATAATTTATGAATATAATCTGTCAACGGCTTCAACGATATAGAAATGAGACTAGCGGTAATCGGCGATTGTTTGTATGAGAACAAACATTTCGTTTGAATTTGTTCACATAATTGATGTGCTAATGTCAATATTCGATGAATAATCATTGGATCATTCTTTTCGACTGATTCGATCAGAATTAACAGTATTGATGTTAACGACTGAATGCCAAAATAGGATAACTGTTGACGTTGCAGTTCAGCTTTTTGTTGCTTTTGTTTGGCAATGACTAACTCTTGACCGTCATTGTTCTCAGTTCGCAAAGTGTTCGTATTTTCGAAAGGCAAATCCAAAAATTGCTTGGAAAAAATCGATGGATTATTGGTTTCATCTTCTACCGATTCCTTCGTTAGAGATACTCGTAACTTTTGTTCCATTTCAAATACAGCCTTAAGTTCTCCAATGACACTAATGTAATGGATAGCAACGAGCAGCAAGACCTCTTTCATAAATATCTCATGTATTTGAGTGTTGAGATCTGCGAGTTTGGCTGTGTCGGTTAATAGGGATAGACTATTTTGAATTTGCTTAATCGAACATTTTTCAGAACGTGAAACTTGATGATCATGATCCGACTGAAGTGAACTGGTTGTTGCAGCAATAGGAGCATTTGTGGATAAGAATAAATTGATGTAATCTTTCCTATTAAGAGATACGATCGTATCGGAACTTCGTTCCGTGTCAGATATTTTAATTGAATCAACAATTTTTGAGTTGATATTTGACAAATGTTGACCCATGTTGCAGTCACCTGACGATAAAACTGATACAAATGTAGAATATTAAAGCTATGCTACGAATGAAAATCTAAAATAGTGTCTACGTTATTTTTCATAGGATTACATATTCAACGCAACATCAACGAAAAATTGATGTCTTTCGGAAATGTGTCACATAAGAGTCGCCAAATGATCGTATCACTAGAAGGTCATACGGAACGTTTCAAGTGATAAAATCGGTTTAACTAAGGCTGGAAAGTTACCTTTACCAACCAGTAATGTTACCAGATAAGTGGTAACATCGTGGTAGCTTTCCTTTCCTAGTTTTGACTCGAAAACAATGACAATAGGTGGGATCCTCGGTGATTAGGAGAGAAATACAAGGGAGTAATGATGTCTGAGTCTCTTATTATGCCAAGCGAAGCCATACATTTTGTATAGAATGTTGATATTATTCTAAAAAAATAAGATTGTGTTAGATTTGGTATCTATGCTCTTATGGAAGCACGAAATGCACCGTTTTGTACAGTAGCTCCACATGAATCTTATGGTGCATTTATTAAATCCATTTTTGTGAAGTCGATTTATTGACACACTAACCTCTTCCCCATAATAGAAGCCTCAGGAGCTTCTAAACTGTTCACTGTTCAAAGTTTTTGAAGCGGGTTTCTATTATGGAGGAGCTACTAATATGACTTTCGCACAAAAGTTTCCAAAGTCATAAGAGAGTTAGTGTTTCAATCAGAGGTATCTCAAAGACGAAACAACTAGGGGATCGCCTATTTTTTTTTGGAAATTATTGAAATTTCCAGAACTTGGAGTGGTTGATCCCCAATCCTCCTCTGCTCGGCACTTCTGTAGTTTCAATAGTCTTGACTATTTATTTGCAATAAGTTCAAATAATCTTCCAACTCTCTGTGAAACTTTATATAGATACAAAAAACAATATACTATTCGATGTAATAAATTACAAAAAATACAATGAAATAAAAAAAATCATGTACAAATATAGCAGCTTAGATTACTTCCAAAAGTGGTTTGATGTTGTTTGTTTATTTTTTTGTGTGGATATTCTTTTATTCTGATTTCAAATATCAGAATTAATATTTAAAATAAAATTTAACTTATCATACTTTATATTGATTTTCAAATGTATGCTATTTTTAAAAAAATTCCTATTTGTAAATATGCATTATAATTCTTTTAATTTATATCTGAGTGTAAATTATAAAAAGAAAGTCTAAATTTATTTTGAAATTTAATATATGGATTAATTAAATTAAACGTAAATTTAAATTGACACCTCTATAAGGCCTCTGTTGCAGTCACACTCACGTAGTACTTGTTAACAGTTGTTTGAAATAAAAAATTGTAGCTGTTTTAACTTTTTCCTTGTCTTAATGGTTTTGTTTGATCAAAAACGAATTTTAATTTTGACCACAATACATAGATCGATTTTCTAACACATAATACGTGCTCTTTATCGTTGGAACTATCGGTAAGTGCAATGTGAAGCGTCCTCTAGCACGTTTTCTTACGTGCAGAGCACTTGTCAATGTAAATTATCAGTGCTGAAAGAAAGACTAACTTTGAAAACATTCTGAAAACTATCGGACATAATACAAGCTCTGTAGCTCCTACTTTATCTTTCATATCGACCTTTCTCTGAGGAGCTTCTAATACGGAGGATGGGGGGTCCTCATATGGGAAGCGCTTCTAATAAGTGAGCGGCTTCTATTATATGGGAAGGGGCTTTAAAGAACAGATTGTTTGAAGAAGATGTGTGCTCATTCACGTCCAATAGCAGCATATAAGGATTCATTTCTTTATTTTATTTAGAAATGGAGTAGAATACGTAGATGAAATTTATTCTTTATGTCGCAAGCTTTCTACGAGAACTCTTACTACCATCAGACAGATGAACGATACAAACTACTCTCTAAAAACAAAAACTTGCCTAACTGAATCTTTTAGGGCTCTAGATTTGGGTACCATTGTAAGAAATTTTCTTAGTTTTAACCGAAGACGCTGGAACCGTTTAAAATGTTAGATTTTCTGGCTAGAACTATTTTAAGTTCTAAATTTTTCGGTTAGAACTATAAAAAGGTTCTTAAAATGGTATCCACATCTAGAACCCGAAAAGGTTCACTATGACACCTTTGTTTTCGAGAGTAAGAGCTAAATATGAGATAGATGAAGTTAAGGTGAAAGGTGTATAGTTTCTTATTGAGAGTTTTAGTGAGCATGTATATTCGTTCTCTAAACTGTAAGCCAGAAAGTAAGTTATAGAATTTAATGAAGGATATACTAGGAATACTTATATG